CAACATGGCCACGGCGCGAGAAACTCTCGTGTCTCTCGTCGGTCTCGTCAGTGTCTCCTCGGGAGTCCGTACGTCTGTTCGTTCGTTCGTCGTGTTCTATAAAATTTTTACGCGTAACTTAATTCGTATCCTCAATTCATTTCGTTTTCGAACATCGACGTAATAATACATATCCGGATTAAAAGAGTTTTGTGTGATACGTTGAGAAAATAAAGGGAGGGATTAAAATAACGCGATAAAGGAGATAGAAATAAACTTCGCCGTAAGAATTACTATCAAGAGTAATATCACAACCACTTACAAAATCAGTAAACCACTAAACCAGTAAACCACCACCAGTACTAGCACCAGCACCAGCACCAGCACCAGTACCAGTACCAGCACCAGCACCAGCACCAGCACCAGCACCAGCACCACCGTCGTCTACGTCGTCGGTGTCGTCTACGTCGTCGTTGTCGTCGTCGTTGTCGTCATCTTCGTCATCGTCATCGTCATTATTATCACCATCATATACGAAGGCGAGCGTCGAGGACGAAGATGGCCGAGAGTAAAGGAGCGCTGATTGCGAAGACAGTGCAAAAGCACGCGGGTAGAGCGAAAGAGAAGGTAAATTTATTATTATTTCTTTTTATTTTATTTTATTTTATTTTATTTATCTTTTTTATAACGAAAGTTTACCATCTATTTTCAATATTTAATATCCATGTAATATATATATATATCTGATGTATGTACATACGTACATACATATAAATATGTTGTAGATATAAAATTGTATATGTATATATTATTATTACAAGCAATATGTAACGAATTGCGAATATCGTTTTCTCTCTTTCTCTCTCTCTCTCTCTCTTTCTATCTATTTATCTCTCTCTTTTTTGCGATTTTACACGATCTTTCCCGATGCATTATTCTCTACGTATCATATGCATACTTTATATCTCTCTCTCTCTCTCTTTTTCTCTCTCTCTCTCTCTCTCTCTCTCTCTCTCTCTCTCTCCCTTTGAGACAAGATTTCTTAGGATATATATATATATATATATATATCATACATATTAAATACACATACGTATGTAACTAATACATATGTATATATATGTATATATCTATACGTACGTATTTACTCGATAAGAAAAAAAAAAAGGTAAGAAGTTGGACTGAGGACGACCGTTATTGTGTTGACGTCGAGATTATTTTTATTTTTCTTTTTCTTTTTTTTTTTGTCTTTTATTGTTTAGTTAACTTCTTAAGGCATATATATAATTCTCTCTCTCTCTCTCTCTCTCTTTCTTTCTCTCTTTTTCTCTCTCTCTCTCTCTCTCTCTCTCTCTCTCTCTCTCTCCGAGAGTTGAGCCACAATTTCATGTTCGTAGGTAAGCACGAAGGTGTTCTTATATAATCAGTAAATATGTACCAGTGTGCTGCTTGTATACCGGCGTTTCGTTTAAAATGACAATTATGCAACTCTCGAATTGTCTCCTTTTATTTTTCTCGTTTAATCTGTGATATATCCATGTATATATATATATATATATATATATATATATATATATATATATATATATATAGAATGAGTAGAGAGTGATATATATATATATATGTATGTGTGGATGTATGAATGTATGTATGTTGCATAATCCTAACCTATACTTTATCAAGATACTAATTGACGTACTGCTCCTGCGCGCATCACGTGACAAGGATTACCTCGCACCCTTTTATGATTTTATGATACACTCGCTATGAAACGCTTGTTATATTAATCGTTGGATGGAGGGTTTCTATAGGGGATTTGTGAAAGGGATGTGGGGGATGGGGGTGAGATGAAAAAGGATGAGAAGGAAGGAAAAAGAAAAAAAAAAAAAAATAAAAAAAATAAGGAAGGAAGAAGTTTTTTTTTCTTTTCCTTTTTTTTTTCTTTTTTTTCTTAATAGCAGCAGTGTTTTTTTTTTCTTTTCTCTTCCCTTTTCTCTTTTGTCGTTTCATTTTTGGACACAATCGTGGATTTTTTTGTTTATTCGGAAAAGAGAGAATTGAAAGATGGCCGCCGATTTGTACCCGGGAAATTTTGAAGAACATTTTTTTTTAATTTTTTTTTTTTTTATTTTTATTTTTGTTATTTTTATTCATTTTTATCTTATTTTATTTTCTTTTTCTTTTTCTTTTTTATTGTAATTTTAATTATTATTCTCTTTAAGGATGATCTTTTAAGATCGATAAAATTTCGATTTAGTTGGTACGATGAAAAGAAAGATGGCCGACTTTATGCAGGGAGGGAATTTTGAATTATTTTTTTTTGTTTATTGTTTTATTTTTGAATGGGAATTAATTTAATTGATAATTTTGATTTGTGTATCTGATAAAAAGAAGATCTTGGGCCGACTTTCTTTCTTTTTCTTTTTTTTTTTTTTTTTTTTTGATATTTTGAATCAAATTAATTTTCCATCTTTAATTTTTATCACCTTATTACGAGTTTAGTTTCATTTTATAATAAATGATAAATTTCGAGCAGAATATTCGATGGTAGAGACATATAAGATCGTATCGATCGATTTATATCGATTTATGTACGATCGAAATCAAACGTATAATTTCAATCGACGAAATTAAAGTTAGGATTAATCGCTAAAAAATCTTATCTTTGTAGTATTTTTTTCTTTTTCCATTTTTCTTTTCCTTTTTTCTTTTTTTTTTTTTTTAACATCGGATGTTGTTAAGATGATCGAACATTATTCGTAAAAAGGTTATATTTTTTATCGACCAATCAGCGTTCGTTAGAAAGAGGTTAAATGGAAAGAAGAAGAAAAAAAGAGAAGTATACTTTTATTTAGAGGTTAGTTTAATATTTTTTTTCTTTTAAAAATTTTTTTTATACAATTATAATTTTATTATACACTTGCTATAGATAGACTAATAAAGTAACTTTATTATTTTACGATCTATAACATTATTGTTTAATATTGTTTTATGAAAAAAATGTTTTAATAATTTTATATAGATATACGTACATGCGTAAAATATAAATGCGTTTTTATATATATATATATATATATATATATATATATATATATGTATATAATTAAATATAATAATCGTTATTAAACGATTTACATATACATATACAAATATATGTATATCGAAATGAATATAACATTTTTATTAATTCTTAAAAGAACACACACACACACATATATATACACATTCATAAATTTGTACATACGTACGCAATTGCGAGCAATAAAAATTTTTTATTAATTTAATAATGAAGCTTTTAAATGAACGTGTGAGAATAAAAATGAACTTTTAAGAACATTTTTATACAAATATTTATCTATAATTTGTAAATGTCGATTTACATATGTACATAGGCAATTAAAACGAATCAACTTTTTCGATATAATTACTTGACATTTAATTCTTAATGAAATTCTGTCCTGTTTTTTTTGTATTAAAAAAAAGAATATATATATATATATATATATCATATATTTGAGGGTACAATTCGTAGGTGTCCCATTTTGCCTTGAAGCCGAAAGGTAATATACAAAGTTATCTGGTAGAACCGGTCTAAAGTATCGCCATGACAGGATTACTTCTCTCCCATTCGAACGAAGGAACGGTGTCGAACTCGAAAAGTTTCGAGAAATTAACTTCAATCTTAAGAAAGTAAATTTTTTATACTATGATAATAATCATTGTTTATTTCTGTAGCTGATGTTCAATGGAGGAAAAAAAAAGAATCGGTAGCCTCCGATTGTTCGACAAATTTTCAATCGATTTTCGTAATTGATACTCGACGAAAAAAAAAAAGAAAATGACGAGAGAGAGAGGGGGAGAGAGGGAGAGAGAGAGAGAGAGTGTCTTCGATTGGTCGAGAAAATTTGTTTCTCCGAAAAATCTCGAATTTCATTGGACGTTTGCACGAACGTTAGTTTATCTTAGAGATCATCAAAAGTTCGAAAATAGTTTACTAGCGATCTGTGTGTTAGCTACGATTTAACGATCTAACTCGATCTACCCGGTAATGTTTATAAAATTTGTATACAGGGTGTATCAAATAAAAAATTGGTACGTTTTTTTTTTTTTTTTTTTACGACGATTGGATCGATAGTTCCTAGGTGTTATTGAAAATCAATTAAATTTTTTGTTGAGAATCACAGGATTTTTTTTTTTTTTTTTTTTTTTTTCGTTTCAAATTGTAAAATTAGAAGTTCAGCTCGTAAAGTTACGAGCTCTTATTAAGAGTATTAAATAATACGACGTATTGGAGTTTGATCTGATGTTTCAAATCGCTTAGAAACATTTTGACCGATCTAGCGTGAAATAATTAAAACGTAAAGGAATAAAAAAATAATTTAAATAAATTGTTTCGTTAATAATTTCTTCGTAAAGCTTGCTTTGCGACAAATAAACAAACAAAAAAAGAAGGAGAACAAGAAAAGAGGATAGAAGAAGAAGAAGAAGAAGATATATGTAAAAAACTTGAAAAAGGAAAAGATAAAATCCTTCAAGAAAAAGAACAACAAAATGGCGAATAAAAAATGATTATCGATCGTATAAAACACCTGTAATGTAAGTTCATTGTACGTGACGAAGAAAGTTTTCATTTATCTTTAGAGAGAAGGAAGGAGTGGTAACATACATACATATGTACATACATACATATACATATATATATATTGTACATAAAACTCCGAGCTAACGCAAGAAGAAGCGCTTACCTTTTACCTTAACTCTAAGATGGTTGGTACTTCAAGTTCCGTTATATCGTACATTATATTGGAATTTAACATTTTTCTTCTTCCTCTTCCACCTCCTCCTCCTCCTCCTCCTTCTCCCTATTCTCTCCTTTTTCCTCCAACCCCTCATCTTTTGGTGGTTTCGATCTAACGGATCTCATGAAATTTTATAAGAGTTCCATTAAATTCTAGATAACTAGAGAAAAAGAGTATGAGATATATGTATATATATATATATATATATGTTTGTATGTATACATGTAAAGTTACATGTAAATAGAACGCAATATGGTAGCTCACAATACAGGTTGGGATGGGGGCTCGAAAAGTCCCTAGATGATTTTATCAAATCAATTAAACTCTTTTTCGAGACTTAAGCAATGTTAATGCATTTTATTTTACGATAGAGAAAATTATATATATATTACAATATATAAATTGTATAACAATTAAATATATTGTATTATTTATTATTTTATTTATTTATTTTTTATATATATATATATGTATATACATACATTTGTATGCGTATAAATTGTATTTGAATGCATATATATATATATATATATATATATATATATATATATATATATTTGAGGAGGGGACTGTAAAGAGGAAGGGGTGAGGAAGAGAGAGAGAGAGGGAGAGAGAGAGAGGGAGAGAGAGAGAGAGAGAGAGAGAGAGAGAGAGAGAGAGAGAGAGAGAGAGAGAGAGAGACAACATAGTGTGATGGAGTTTTCTTTTTTCTTTTTCTTTTTTTTTTTTTTTTTTTTTTGCAAAGCAGGAAGTCTTAAGATGTTCATAGTTTTCCTAGGCTCCTTTAAGAGATCACTAAAATCTATCCACCTCTCCTAGGAGTTACTA